TAAAAAAAAAAAAAAAAAAAAAGCAAATGAGATTAAAATAATGCTAGCTATTTCCTTGTCAACATGATTTCTTCATATGTAGAAAACAGCCTCTATATAATCTGGCCATTCCTGAAAAATCCTGACTATTCCATGAGTAGTTTGAAGTTAGTGGTTGAAGTTTAGAAATTATAACAACTCACCAATAAATGGACTTTAATTTTTATAACACTTAACTGGAAGCTACTTTTTCATGTGAAAGGGCTTTCTTTGCTTTTGTGCCCGTAGGCTAATATTTTACTTGGAGCCTTAAAATCTGATGCTTTTATGTTCTCAGGTGTCCCAGAAGGTGGGGGCGGGGCGGGACACCTTTACACCTTGGGGTATCTCGGTCGGAATAGCCAATTGCTCACCAGATCCTACACATGCTCAGAGTATCGGAAAGAAAGGTAAAATTAAAAGGGAAACTGCCAGGACTTAAGATGTCTGGTCAAAGCCAGCTCGATCTCCCAGGAAGGGCCTACCAGCTTCCAAAATGTCCTCCCGCAGTCCTGACGTCACGCGACGGGCTTCACCAAGCCAGTAAGCCCCTGTGCTCCAATCAGAGCTCAGGTCCCTCACCCACTGCCCTTCACTTTCGTCACTTCCGGTGGTGCAGCAGCCATTTTGTCAGTCGCAAGCGGATCCCGCGCGCTGGAGAAGTGCAGTTCCCCCTAGTTACCAACTCGTTAGTTCTCCCTTCGCGCTGCGGGCGCGGTCGAGGAGCACTCACCACAGGCACAGCCGGTCCTCCCTGCAGTGTCGCCGCAGCTGTAACACCCGCCCGGAGCCAGTGCCGCTGTCTTCCTCCCTCGCCACTGACAGGCGCCCTCAGGGAGCCCGGGTCAGCGATGTCAAGCGAGGAGAGCTACCGGGCCATACTGCGCTACCTGACGAACGAGTGCGAACCGTACGCGCCGGGCACAGAGGGCAATGTCAAGCGTAAAATCCGCAAGGCCGCCGCGTGCTACGTGGTGCGCGACGGGACCTTGTACTACCAGCGGCGGCAGCGGCACCGCAAGACCTTCGCGGAGCTGGAGGTGGTGCTGCAGCCGGAGCGACGCTGGGGGCTCATCGAGGCCGCGCACCTGGGCCCGGGCGGCACTCACCACACCCAGCATCAGACCTGGCACGACTTGTCCAAGACGTACTGGTGGCGAGGTAAGATCTCGCCCGCGGCGAGGGGGCGGGCTGGCTGCTTGTTGTCCAGGCAAGGCCCGACGACTGAGGCGGGCCTGGGCCTGTTTGCAGAACTGCAAGTTTTGAGGGTCCCTCACCCGGCATTTCGGACGCCCCCCGCCGGCCCAGCCTACGCTCGGCGGTGGAGCGGCTGCCAGGCGGAGCCGAGAGGGTGAGGGACTGGAAAGGAGCCGCACTTCCCACAGGAAGGAGGCCTGGGAAGCTGGGGGCGGGCCCT